AACTGAAAGTGATTTTTAAAAAAAATTTTTTGTTGTTGTTTGTTTTGGTATGAGATGAGTGAGCCAAGGTAATTGGGAAAAGGAAAACTTTGTAGCCTCCACTTCCCTCCACTAGATATTAGAGGGTCTTAAGCAACTAGAAACTGAAGGAGGAGAGTTGGGGGGTTAAATAAATACATTTATATAAGAAATATATAATGTGGGATGTTGTAAGTTGTAGAAAAGTTAAATTTGTATGAAGGTGGTATATGCGTATGTTGACGCTTTTTTTTTCAAGCTATAAATCGAAGTTGTGACAGAAACATCATATGCAGGCTGTGCTTCATGCTTTAAAGGATAATACACAATGCCTATGTTTCCTTGGTCTCTCACATTTCATGTCTATGAGCCAATCGACTAATTGAAAACCATGCACTCCCGGTATGATTAATATCTTAACTGAAAACGAAAGTTGGCCATACACTTTTCATACACTGCTGCCTCAACCAAAATTCGAGCAGTGCGAGGCCAACTAGGAACCATTTGTGACGTACGCCTGGAACAAACCCGCTGTACGCCAATCACACGTGACTATACAGAAGTCTGAACCAAGCGTGGGCATCACAAGGACGTGGCGATACCACTCTCAGCCTCACCCTGCAGAGATTCCCCGTCTCGTGGGACACAATCTCAGGCCAGCAGACTGGAGAGCGATGGTCACCAGGGTTGGTTAACTCCGCAGTTAACACTTTACCCACAAACGTTCGCTGCCACCATGTGTTTTTTTTTTTTAACGGAAACACAGACCGTGCACAGCAAATGCTGCTCGCGTCGATCAGCGCTGTAAAACGCCCAGGTGTGAACCCAGCCTTAATGGCTCTAAAATTATTGCTCTCACTCAGTTTGCGGCGATATGCAACATGTGCGGCACGTAGGCGCACTCGACGCATATATGCGTGTGTATGTGGGGGGCGCATACACACGCATGTTATGCATCTTTATTTTTTTTAATCAATCTTTCATTTTTGTATTACATTTTTTTAATACTTTTTTTTTTTTATATATATACACACACACACACACACACACACACACACACACACACACACACCAGCAAAATAAAAAGGTGAATACTCAAACAGTCCTCGGTTTAGGAGTTCTGACAGAGTTCAATAAGCAAAGGCTGTAGGGCTCTTCTTCAAGCAGGCTTTCAGCAGATAATGTCCAGAGATTAAAGGGGAACTCATCTGCGATGTTAAGACTTCTTAGTTTCTTCGTTGATGTTTTTCAAACATCAACGAAGAGAGCCCCCTCTAGCTAGTTCAGCATCTTTTTGTCAGACCTTTAGGAGCCGGCCCCTAGGGCCGGGCCAAGCTGGAAAGCAGGAGGAGGATGAACCTTTATTTTACACTATCACCGCCCAATTCTAAATGAAATGTAGCTTGGTTTTGTAACTCAGGTTTATGATTTCTGGGTGAATGTGGGGTCACCTCTACCAGACCTGCTTGTTTATATTAACTTGTCCACTGGTAATGGATGAGGGCCTGGCGCCATGCCTTTAATTAGGGACAGCTATAAAAGGATAATGAGGCACACTTCTGCTGGGGGGGCAATACAAGATCACATAGCAGATCTCTGTTCTGTGGAATGTGGAAGGCCTGGCAAATGACTAAATGAAGGCCTGCATTTGCTCTGACTGGGGAATAAAAGAATTGTATTTTTAATATTCAGACTCACCCGCATTATCGTCACACCAATCAGCTACTGTCAATGTACAGGTATTCCGACAGCTGCACACTTGCTACTGTCCCAATACACTAGCCTGATTGGGGTGGGGATTCCCCCATCC